CATGGTGGGGTTTGGCTTGAGTGATCCCTTCACCCTTCAGTGAGGGCTCATTTCCAGCAGGCTCCTGTCCCAAAGGTGTTCCTGGACCCTGGGACCTGCATGTTTCCTTTCCAAGGCAGCATCTGCTCCCCTGTGCTGCATGGGCATGTCCACACCACCTCCAAGGCCACTGTGGGGACCTGCAGCACATGGAGGTGCCCCAAGGAGGGCTTTGGGCTTTCTTCCTGCTTTAGGGACCTCCAGCAGCTAAAACATCTTCAGGAAGGGCTGAGGAGCAGGGGGGATCATGGCCAGGTGCTTTCATGTCTGTCTGCAGAGCTGGGGTGTGGAGCAGGGTGGGACTGGAGCCGTGACCCTGCATTCAGCAGGGAGGGATTTCCCAAGGCTCTGATCATTGGGGTTGTGCAACCTCTGCAGCTTTCCTCAGCTGAGACTTTCGTTGTAGAGTTTCTGACATTTTTGCCCTCTGGAACGAGCAGCATCTCTTCAGCACTCTCTGAGCCCCTGGATGATTTCCAGGGCTTTTTTTAATCCCTGCTGATGAATGGAGATGCGGCCCCAGTCTGCACAGCCGTGGGCTGGTGCTCAGCACGGTGGGCAGTGTGAGCAGGAGCAGTCACCTGTGGCCATGTCCAGCTCTGCTGTCCCTGCAGGGCCGGTGACAGCTCGGGGAGGGCTGCAGGAGGTTGTGGTTTGCACATGGCAGGGCTGGCCCTGCTCCCAGCCCAGCTCCACCAAGGACATCAGCAGCTCTGGGCAAGTTCCCCCAATCCTCTGTGGCCATGCAGAGATAAAAACCCTCTGCCACTTCACAGGGCTTTGTGAGGGTTCACAGGCGACAGCGGGAGCTTTGAAAGGGAAATGTTTAAAATGTTCTCTAACCCTCTCTGCACTGTCACACTTTTAAAAAATGTCATTATTTATCCTATCAGAAAGGAAGTGATTCCCCCTCTGTCTGGTCTTTGAATGCCCCTCTCTGCCAGGGGATTGCAGCAGCCTCAGAGTGCAAATCCCCTTTTTCCTGCTGCTTTCCAGGCTCCGGCCGCTGGACATCGAGTTCATGAAGCGCCTGAGCAAAGTGGTCAACATCGTCCCGGTGATCGCCAAAGCCGACACGCTAACGCTGGAGGAGAGGGACTACTTCAAACAGAGGGTAAGGGGCTGCTCCCAGCCCTGCTAGCCCATCCCTGAGCCCCTCGTGGCTACCCTGGTGCAGCAGTGGGTGGCCGGGATCCTCGGAATGAGCCCAGCTCGGAGCGTGGCCGCAGGGTGAGCACGCTCCCCAAACGCTTCCCGGTGTTTCTCTTGGACAGGGCAGAAGAAGTGTGGAGCTCTGCATCTCTGGGATTGCTCCTCCTGCCTCCTTTGTTGTTGTTGTTGTTATTTTCAGGCTGGTTTCTGTTATTTTGGGAGGTTGGTGGTGCTGCACAGAGGAAAACCCTTCCTCTGCAACATCAGGCACTGATATGGGAATCAGGAAAAAAAAATGTGGGTTTGCTGAGCTCAGCTGGGAGAGACTTTAGAGGGAAGCAAGGTATGAAATTCCCGTGGTTGGGAGCTGAGGAGGGGCTGTCTGAATCCACAGCAAGGCGTGGGCTGTGCTCCCAGAGGTGGGATGGCCCATCTGGGGTTTGGTAAGGGGCTGTAAATCCATTTGTGTGGGCCAGGGATGTGGCTGCAGGGCCTCAGCATTCCCTGCAGAAGGAAAAACCACCAAGCTCCTTGATCTGTGAGCTTCAACTGGAAGTGAAGGGAAAGGGGGTCTGCCAAGAAAGGGGCAGTTTTAGGGGCCACTCTCTTGGTTATGGAGTTGGTGACATCTCATCCAGGGTGAGGAGGAGAGGGGGACACTCCTTCCCACACCAGTGCCATCCCAGCTCTTGGTGCGCAGCCTCAGGCACTGAAATGCCCAGTCTGGTTTTGGAGTCTGAATCCAAACTGCCAGCAATTTCCTTGGCTACAGGCTGTCTGGAAATAGAGCTGAGGGTCACCCAGCCTGGGCTCCCTCGGCTGCTCAGGCTGAATGCACAGAGCCCTGGGAGGAGCTGGTGAGGGCACACCAGGGGTGAGCCCACAGTGCCACACCTGCCCTCTGGGATGGCTCCTGCAGGCTGCTGGCTCCATGCAGAGGTTACCAATGCACACATCTCTGTGTCTTCAGTGACTCTGGCACTGCCAGGTCAGTCTGGGACTGCAGATGTCACCTGGGCACCTTTGGCTGCTGATGCCATGGAACACCATGGGAGCGGTGTCTAGCTCTGCTGCTCTGCCCTGGCATGGCACAGCATGAGCTCTCCCTGTCTCTGCCTCCTGATTGTAACCAGAGCCCCCAGACCCTTCCAGGTGGAGGCAGAGCCCTCAGCCACATGGTGGGTTTGCTCACTCTCCTCATGCTGTCCAGATCCACTGGTGCAGACAAGAGGGCAGGAAATCAGGCCAGGTGGACACAAACTGGGACATTTTGCACTCATTCCAGTGTGCCTGTGTGTGAGCTGATAGGAGCAGAGACCTGTTTTACATCTGGGGGTGTAGCTGGTTCAGAGATGTGACGGGTTTGGGGTTTGGTGGGGTGGGCAGTGGAGCCCCAGCCTGGCTGCAGTGGAATGTGCTCCGTGGGGTTGGCTTTGGGGGTTGTTCCCCTAAACTCGGTGTGTGGGTTTGGTGGGGGGTGGGGGCTGGCTGGGGGTGTTCCCTGGGCTGGATCCCCTCCTTTGCCAGCTGAACTGTGGGACTGATGTGGAGTTATTGCCATGGGAAGTGGTGGGAGCAGGCACCAGGCTGGGCTGGGCTTTGCAGCCTTGCAGAGGGCTGATCCTCCCAGCTCTCCATGAGCTGAGCCTCAACCCCAGAGTCAGATTTCAGCATCTCTTGGCCTTGCACAGAGGCAGAGTCCTTAGAGGACAAATGTCCTTGTCCCTTCAGATCGAGTTCCTTTTCCAAGCAGCATAAACAAACACCAGGTAGCAGCATTTTTCCTCTGTGTTACAAGCCTGGCAGCTGTGCTCCGCTTTGCTGGGGCAGCTTAGGTTGTCTTGTTCTCTTCTTCCATCCCTGAACAACACCCAGCTCATATGGCTTCATCTCACCCTCTGCCTGATCTGTGCCTTGGCACTAGGTTCTTGCAGAGGCTCCAGGGCAAGCACTTGGTGGGTTTGTGGCAGGGAAACACGGCTCTCTGTGCCCTGGGTGGGCAGGGTTTAGGATGGAGAGGGAGGCTGCTGGACATTGCTGTGGTTGATGGGTATTGCTCAGAGCCTTCCTGGGAGAAGCTGCCATGGTGGGAGTGCAGCTCCTGCCTCTCCTTGAGCTGTCCCTCTGCTCTTCCCCCCCAGATAATGGCTGATCTTCTGGCCAACGGCATCGACGTGTACCCCCAGAAGGAGTTTGATGAGGACTCTGAGGATCGGCTGGTCAACGAGAAGTTCCGGGTGAGTGTGGGGCCAGACGGGCCCTGCAGCTCCAGGGGCTGCTCGGGTCCTTGGGGGTCCCTTCCAAAAGCCTCTGATTTCCTTCCAAAGCTGCTGTGCCCTGTCTGTGGAGTCTGCCTGGGACCAGGGGTGGACAGAGGGTGACCAGGGCTCATGGGGAAGGTGTCCTGTCCATGCTCCTTCCTCATCTCCATCCCTGCAGGGCACCCTCAGCAGCTCCACAGCCCTTCTCCCTGCCCTGGGCACAGGGAACAGAGGGCAGGAGCCTTCCCAGCTCTGGGCTGGAATTTACCTGAAGGCTGCCTGCAGCTCTCAGTTCCATGCCACAGGAGGCAGCGAGCAGTTTTTCAGCACAATAAAGTGGATCGGACAAATTCAGAGGAGAAAAAAAACCTTTTAGGGACTCTGAAATTCAAAGACACCAGCCTGAGTCAGGAACTGAGTTGGCCACAGCTTGCCAGATGCTGGGGGCAGTTCCCTGGGAAGCTTTGGGATACCAGAGAGGGGCTGGGTTTGGGCTGRTTTTAGGCTGGGCTCAYRTGCAGGAGATGCTSGTAGCCATCCTGGGCTGCCTGTGRGCCCTGSCAGGAAACACTGCTSAGGAACATCAGGGACAGACCAGCTCATCCCACAGAACTCTCCTGCAAACAGCCTGGCTTTGCACACCGGCTTGGTTTCCTGATGGGTTCTCAGGAACAAACCATGACCTTGCTTTCCCCTTTCCCCAGGAAATGATCCCGTTTGCGGTGGTGGGCAGTGACCAGGAGTACCAGGTGAATGGAAGGAGAATCCTCGGCAGGAAGACCAAGTGGGGCACCATTGAAGGTACCTTGCCCTGGTTCCCCAGCTCCCCAGCCCATCTCCCTGCCCTGGCACGAGGCAGTGAGGTCCAAAACCAGCAGCAGAAGTTCAGGTGTTCGTGGTGCTTCCTGCTGCTCCAGAACAGATAATTTCCCTGGTGTTTGAGGGCTGGAAACACTTTGGCCAATGCTCCTGCACAGAGTTCCTGGGTCTCTGTGTGTTCTGAGTGCTGGAGGGGACATTTCTGGGGGTCTCATGGCCTGGTTTGTGCTTCCTGCACAGTTAAATGCTGGTGGCTGCATCTGAGGGCACACAAGTGACATCCCTGTGTCTCCAGCCCCTGCTAGAACCTTCCCCTGGCACCTGTGTCCCCTCCACCATGCCTTTGGCTGGTTCTTTTGTGGGATCTCTTCCCTCTTCCAGTTCCCATCGGCGTATCCCTTTTTTCTCCCCCGTTTTACAGTCATGGTTTAAAGGCTGGATGAAAGCTCCTGACTCCAGCACATCTTCCCATTTCCCGTTCATGGTTTCTGGCAGCCAGCTGGCTCTTCTCCAGTGCCACCCCTCTCATCTTCCTTCACTTCACAGGTTCCTCTCATTTATGAGCCTTTTTAATGGGAATCCTGTGTTGAGGGATGGTTTAACAAAGCTGCCATCGGTGTATTTTGAAAGCCAGTTTATTTTGAAGCTCTGCTGCCCTCTCGTGCTGTGTCCCTGAACATTCTGAGTTTAATGGATTTCATTAAACTCACCTTCAGCACAGGGAGGCCCTGAGGATACAGCCATGGCTGTGGGCAGCCTTTGCACAGCAGTATCATGTGTTGTTTTGCCATCCCTGCGTGGTGTTTAATGGTTGGATTCAATGATCTTGGAGGTCATTTCCAACATAAAGAATTCTGCTGTTCTATGTATGAGCTTCTTTGGGTAAAAAAAATATATATATATAAAAAGGATTTGTTCCTCTAAATTGAGTAAAATATGGGGTAAAATAGCAGCTGTCAGCCTAATTGTGGTGGAGCAGCACCCCTGGATATTTTGCTGTTGCTAACACTCCTGCTAGCAGCCCTAGACAGCAGAGTTCCTGTCCTTGCCCAGCCCTGGGTGCTGCAGGAGGCTCATGGCTGAGCTACAGATGAAACTCTTCAGTGGAGAGGCGCCTGGTGCTCACTGCACAGCTCACTGGGACCCTTCCCTGCCTTTTTGGGGGGCCCAGGGGGTCCCAGCACTGTGGGACACGGTGGGAAGGGGCTGTGGGTGGTACAGAGACCCGGTACCAGCCTTGGAGCAGCACAGGGGACCCCTGGGTCCTGCCCCTGTGCCCCAGAGTGCCCACGGAGCCCTCCAGGTGAAGTCCCCAGGCCCTGCTCGCCCCAGGGCTGGCCCTGGGTGCCCATTGATGGTATTTTTCTCTCTCTCTCTCTCTCCAGTGGAGAACACAACACACTGTGAGTTCGCCTACCTGCGGGACCTCCTCATCAGGTCAGTGCCTGGCCCCAGAGCCCTGATCACCTGGTGGCAACCAGCACAGGGGACAGCACAGCCCAGCTGGAATCAGCTGCTGCTCTGCTCTGTGCTCCATCCCTGCAGCCCTGCCTCCCCTCCCAGCCCTCTGCTGCTCCATCCCCACAGCCCTGCTTCCCCTCCCAGCCCTCTGCTGCTCCATCCCCACAGCCCTGCTTCCCCTCCCAGCCCTCTGCTGCTCCATCCCTGCAGCCCTGCCTCCCCTCCCAGCCCTCTGCTGCTCCATCCCCACAGCCCTGCCTCCCCTCCCAGCCCTCTCTGAGGGGTGGCCCCACTCCATGGGATGGGGATTCAGGGAATTTTCTCAGCTGCAGTGTTGAGTTCATGGGGCAGAGGAGCAGTGGAGGGGTCAGGACTCACTCCAGGATTGCTGGCAGTGTGCAGCATGGCTCCAGTTCACCTGCAAGCAGGTTTTGGCCATGGTGATCCTCACCAGTGCCAGGTCTAACCCCCAGAACAGACATTGTCCTCCACTGGGGTGTTGCTGTGGGGTTGGGCAAGGGCTGGGCCCTCCTGAAACAGCAGTCCCTGCTTTTGGGGAGTGTGGGGCTGAGCCCCCCGGGCTTGCCAGAGGGGCCATTGGGCTTCTCCTGAATTGGGCCGCAAGTTAAACTCTGCACACGTGAGCTGCTGCTGGCCAGTGGTTGTGTGGGGCTGCAAACCCTTATCCCAGGAGCTGTGGGGTTGGGATCTCCCTGCGTGGGTGCTCTGCAGCCACAGCTCCTGTGTCCCCAGGCACCACTGGAAGCTGCTCCTGCTGTCTGTTATGGCCTTTACATCCCTCCTGTGCTCTAAAGACACCATTGGAGGGGACAGGAGGGGACAGGAGGGGACATTGGGGCAGGGTTTGGGGTCTGCTCTGTGCCCAGCATGGTGCGATTGCTCCATCTCCCTTCCCTGCAGGACACACATGCAGAACATCAAGGATATCACCAGCAACATCCACTTTGAAGCCTACAGGGTGAAGAGGCTGAACGAGGGCCAGAGCTCTCTGTCCAACGGCGTGGCTGACAAGGAGCTGGTGGCCAACGAGATGTGACCGTCCCGCGCCGCTGCCCGGACCGTGCTCGCTCACGCTCGCTATTTCTCCCCTCTCCCCCCTCTATTTTTATATAAAATCCTCTGCCACTGTCCCTCTTKCCCCGGTTCCCACCCCTGCCGTGTTAACTGACCAAATAACCAGCCGTGGAGCGGGGTGGCCGCTCTCCCCCCGCTTTGTGCCGTGAGTTTTGTCCCCCCTGGGCTGGGGACCGTCCCTYCGCGGGGGTCGGGCTCTGGCTCGCCCCTGGCTCTGGCCCCCCAGCCGAGCCCAGGGGAGCAGATCTGGGGGGCTGGCGGGGTTGGGGTGCCCCAGGAGCCCTCCCAGCCCCTCGGTGCAGGGGCTCCTGTCCGTCCAGTGAAGGCGAGGGCTGCTCCGGGGGGATGGAGCCTCGGGAAGCGCAGTGCGGTGGGATGAAGAGAGCGAGCCAGCGCCATCCTTGTGTTCTGCTGCCTCCTCCGAGCCCTCTGCAGCCCTCTGCAGCCCTCTGGGACCCGCCAGCCCCCAGCCCAGCCCCTGCACCCTGCCTACATGCAATGAACTGGGAGTGTTGAGGTGTCCCCTCGCCCGTCACTGGTCCCTGGATGGGCAGAGCGACCTGCTTTGGGAGAAGTGCCTTTTCAGACTGTGGAACAGAGGGAGGGAGGGCCTGCCTTGTCTGTCTTTGCAGCCTGCACAAGGCTCTGAGCCTCTGTGGAGACTCTGGCTCCCTCTCCCTCGGGCCAGAGCTGTGGCTGATGTCCTGGCAACACTTGTGTATTTATTTTTCGTTCAGTTGGGTGGGGTTTGTCTGCCGAAGGTGTTTGTCCGGAGGGGGCTGAGTGTGAAATGTCTCTCTGCAAAGCAGTGG